CGCGGCTGCATTCTGGACAAGCTGAAGTCGCCGAATACTCTTCAAGGGCTGCCCCATGTAGAGCACGTTGCAATAGTCACACACACACACACACACACACACACACACACACATCTCCCCTTTTATTGGGGCAATTAAATATTGTTTTATATAAAGCTGGCCCTACTGAGGGGAGCGATTTCTACTCACAATAGGGAAAAAATGTTTTTAGATATGTAGGATAATAAAGATACCCAAAAGCATACAACCACTTCAGATAAAATGAGATGTTGTTCCTAATGGGAACTTTCTGGAAAAGTAATTCTAAACCTACTAAGAACATTAAAATATGATAGATATAGATGAGGGGAGGCAGTTTTTAAATGAACTTTGCTCTAAGATTATAGAGCAACAAGTGCAGGAATCTTTTGGTAGTTCTCTCTTTGAGAAATTCAATTCCAACCCAATTTGGATGCCTTGAAGTTTTTCATGAGTTTTGCTTAATCAGGAGATTTTCCTGCTCATCATCGATTTACTTTGAGGTAACTATGGATACATAAATACCTAACAGAAATGGCTGGTGTCCCACTAACACCACTAGTGGGTGCCAAGTCACCATTTTCCTTGGGAGTTCTATAATTATAGTACTTTTATCCAGTGTTGTCCTCTTGGATACTAAAATGCCCACACTTAAGGGGGAATTTAATAATAGCGTTATTTTTCATTCCTCAAAAGAATTTCTTGATTAACAAGAATCAGAACCATAATAATTAAGCAACACCATCTTCAATATAGCAACTTGTTCTTGAGAATAGAAGGGCCAAAGATCCTTGTCAGATTTCTACCAGTTTTTGCATTAGTGGCTTATAAAATGAGATTTAGACAAATCTAGCTAACTTTCTAAACTTCTTGCTAACATCTCTATATGTTTTGCCATCCTAGTATATTCCTAACAGTTATATTATATCCTTTCATCTTCATAGTATTATGTGGACACATAGCACCCCATGATACAAAGCAGTCCCTGGCAGAGCTGGTATTCATTTACTTTCCTTACTGGTGTGCAAATGTGAGGGCACGCGTGGGCGCGCTCACTTTGCTCGCACACGCCCTATCCACGCATGCGCATGGCCTTTTGCGCATGCTCTTTGGCTTGAAAATGTCCCTTTATAGGACGATATAGACACGGGGCAGATGGGCAGGCCTACCCACAATTTCCACTACAGGTGAACCAGTCCAAACAGATTGAATACCATCTCTGGACTCTTGTCACTTTAATCTACAGGCTAACAATTATGTGTACAAATAATCCCTTAGAAACATTCCTAAGCATTAAACATGCTTTTCTTCCCCAATTTCTCTTTTGTTGTACAATCACATGCAATTTCAGTTTTTTGACAGAATAATATTGATAACATTTCTATGTCAACTGCAAAAGGCCACACTGCTTAGATCCGCACATAAACTATTGCTGATATATTATGACACGCTAGCTTCTTGTTCCTGGGAAGAACTTGATGTATATGAAGGCCAGTTACCAGCTGAAGAACTGCCAGTTGTGACTTCACACTGTTGTGACAGACAACAACAACAACAACATGATAACTTTAAGAGAACAGATGCACACACATATAAATTCAGTCATGTTACTTCTCCCTTCTAATGTAAAAAGTACATTTCGGGAACTACATTTCTTTTTCTCTATATAACTGCTTCATAAAAACTGTGAAAGCGAAGGTTAAAAAAAGAATTTGGGAAAGTGATTTAATTGCAAGAAATTCAAAAGCAAGGTCACACTTCACCATGCTTGTATGTGAACATTAAACCATGCATGTTTCAGTGTTCATCTCTTCTTTTCCATTTTTCCTTTTTGGCATGAGTGTGTATTTGTGCTTAGTGTGCCTTAACACTGACTCCGATGTTTTGTGTCTCTCTTTCTCTCCCCCCTTCACCCTGTTGCATGTGGCTGCGACTGATATAATGGTGGCCCAGGGAGCCAAGGGTCAACCTGGAGAGAAGGTGAGTCAGCTTTTTCCAGTTAACCACTTCAGACGGGGTTTGTCAATAGCCGGGGACCATCAACATTAGACATATTGTCATTGCGAATTAAATTGCAGCACGTGAGACATCTACCAGGAGCTGAAAGAGATTGTCCTGAGAAGTAGACCTGTCCTTGGGCAATCAGATATTTGCCTGGTTTCCATTCTAATCTAGCCCAAAAACTATAAACAAGCAAGTAAGCGACATGCTGTTGGCTCAGGACCAAGACAAAGGAAAGCGGTTATCTGTCCCCATGGGTGACATTCATTTTTTTTCCCCTACCGGTTCTGTGGGTGTGGCTTTGGGGGGGCTCCTGTGACTGAGTGGGCGTGGCCAAATCTATTTCAGTCATATCCACATCCACACCCACTCACATCCCCACCACCAAGCCACACCCACAGAACCCTGTAGGAAAAAATGTGTGTATCAGCACAAGAAGGGTTTATAGTGAATGCTGTGGCAGAGAGAAGCCAAACATTTCTCCCTCCATTCACAGCGGAGCTGCTGCTCCCTTTATGGTCCCCCCAACCCCCTCCCTTCCAGGGGGTCGGGAGGATGCAGCAGCTCCACTGTGAATGGAGGGAGAAACATTCAGATTGGGTGGGTGGGTCGAGCGGCCAGAAGGGGTGAGCAGCAAGCAGGCAACTGGGGAACCGGGGGGGGCATGGGCAGGGGACAACCAGGGGTGATTTTTACCAGTTTGGCGAACTAATTCAAATCCTCCCTACCAGTTTGCCCAAGCCGGTCCGATCCAGTCAAATCCCACCCCTGTCTGTCCCTGATTTTGATAAGCTAATTTTAATGATCAGACAAGTTTAAAACATGAATGGGAGACCATCAGTAAAAGCGGTGGAGTTTCAAACACACCATCATGGTCACAATCGTGATTTATTATTAGTATTATTATTATTATACCATGTAAACTTTCTTGGACTGTAGGCTAGTTAGAAAGACATTCCAGAAGTTGCAATTTGCATATTATTGCTATGTAAACAATATGGACTTGCCCACAAAAAAAATTAACCTTTAATCAAAGGCCATTATTAACCACAAAGGCCAAATTATTTTACACAAATTAATGCATGCAAATAAAAAATAGACAGTTTTTTAAAAAGAATATTTTGTTGAAAAAGCCCAGAGATGATCTAAAGGTTCAGAAATTTTGATTTGTTTACTATAATTTATACTAACATTGCCAAAACTTCTTTGCACTGATAGTCAGGTAAACCCATCATTTGCAGCTGGTCTTATGGATACTTTCTGGAACTGTTTTCAGTTTCATGGCTAACAGCTGTGCTTGGAGTGTCTAGGAAAATGACACATGGAGATGTAGTTAACTCTACCAGCTGCATCTTAGACAGCCTCAGCTCAGCACAATTGGTTGAGTAAGGTTCACAGAATCCCAGATGCAAACTTTATTTTTCGTCAGCAAGGAAAGCCTCATCAAATAACTGAGGAAAGCAAATGAGAGAGGAGGACCTTAAATTTTCTTTTTTTCGATCCACAGTTGCATTTCTGCACAACTATCCAGAATAAACTGTGTATCTGCGCCTTCCCTATCACAGTTAAAACATTTTGCAATGAATAGCAAAAACATCTTTCCTTCCATGAGGAGTAAGAACGAAGCAGTAGTTGGACATAGGGGACTTGATGGCTTTTAAGATCATACCAGGCACAATATGAAATTTATTTCCCCATTAGACTTGAAATAGGTTGGCTCAGTGACAAAGACGCTGAGCTTGTCAATCAGAAAGGTCGGCAATTCAGTGGTTTGAATCCCTAGCGCCACGTAATGGAGTGAGCTCCCATTACTAGTCCCAGCTTCTGCCAACCTAGCAATTTGAAAGCATGTAAAAGTGCAAGTAGAAAAATAGGAACCACCTTTGGTGGGAAGGTAACAGCGCTCCATGCACCTTTGGTGTTTAGTCATGCCGGCCACATGACCACAGAGACGTCTTCGGACAGCACTGGCTCTTTGGCTTTGAAACGGAGATGAACACCGTCCCCTAGAGTCGGGAATGACTAGCACATATGTGCGAGGGGAACCTTTACCTTTACCTTTACCTTAGGTTGCCTTTTTACATAATCTGTTAAATTGCTTGATTTCTTTCATTTCACCAATTAGCTAACATAAACCAGCTTCCTTCTGGTTTGGGGCACTCCCCTAGTATTTGAACAAATGCAGCCTATAAAGTCTACCACCTGAAATAAAAATATCCTGAAATGAAGCTTTTTTTTTCCAGAATGGTCAGCAAATATCCATTTGGTTAGGAAAATGCAAGTGCTGTCCAACTTTTTCCCCCCAAACTAGAACCATGTTATTTTTGTCCCTTTCTAAATATATGTGTCTACAAAAATTTGGGTAACCTATGAAGGGATGTCAAACTGGCAGCTCGTGGGCCAGATGTGTCACGTGCAGGCCATGCCAACCCCAGCTCCGTGAAGGGAAAAAAGTCATAATACATTACGTGATGGCAATGTGACACCGTGAGTTTGACACCCGTGGTATAGAGCAAGGGTCTCCAACCTTGGCAACTTTATGACTTGTGGACTTCAACTCCCAGAATTCCCCAGCCAGCCAGCATAGGTGAGGAACTAGTTGGGAGTTGAGGCAGGGGTGAAATTCAGCAGGTTCTGGCCAGTTCTGGAGAACAGATAGTGGAAATTTTGAGTAGTTCAGAGAATTGGCAAATACCACCTCTGGCTGGCCCCACCCCCATTTATTCTCTGCCTCCTGAGTCCCAGCTGATTGGGAGGAAATGGAGATTTTGCAATATCCTTCCCCTGGAGTGTGGAGGGAATGGAGATTTTAGAATATCCTTCCCCTGGAGTAGGGAGGGAATGGGGATTTTACAGAATTCTACTCCTGGAGTGGCGAGGGTATGGGGATTTTGTAGTATCCTTCCCCAGGAGTGGGGAGGGAATGGGAATTTTACAGTATCCTTCCCCTGCCACACCCACCAAGCCATGCCCACAGAACCAGTAGTAAAAAAATGAATTTCACCACTGAGTTGAAGTCCTCAAGTCATAAAGTTGCCATGGTTGGAGATCCCTGCTATAGAATGTTTGTTGCCAATTTGGCGGTTTGAATCCCCAGCACCATGTAATAGAGTGAGCTCCCATTACTTGTCCCAGCTTCCGCCAACCTAGCAGTTTGAAAGCATGTAAAAATACAAGTAGAAAAATAGGGACTGCCTTTGGTGGGAAGGTAACAGCTTTCCGTGCACATTTGAGGTTTAGTCATGCCGGTCACATGACCATGGAGACGTCTTCGGACAACACTGGCTCTTTGTCTTTGAAATGGAGATTAGCACCATCCCATCGAGTTGGGAATGACTAGCACATACGTATGTGCGAGATGAACCTTTACCTTGGGTTGCCTGGAGTCAGGAGGGAATGGGGATTTTACAGTATCCTTCCCCTGGAGTGGGGAGAGAATGGGGATTTTACAGTATCCTTCCCCTGCCACGCCCACCAAGTCACGACCACAGAACCAGTCGTGAAAAAAAATTGAACTTCACTACTGAGTTGAAGTCCTCAAGTCATAAAGTTGCCACGGTTGGAAATCCCTGCTTTTATAGAGTGTTTCCATGTGAAGCATTTCCTATAAAAAGGCTCAGCCTCACTTGTGAATTTGCATTACTGGAATGTGGATAGGGGGTGAGGGCTCACATTATGGAAAGTTCCACGTTAATCCTCTTGCCTCTTCCTTT